TTCCAACAAACTGATATTTTACCCCATGCAGTTGTTCATCTGAAATCTCGAAGTACTTCCGCCATTCCTGTTGTCTCTGATAGGGATTCAGAAAGAACATTTCTTTCTAAAGAATGAAATCAGTAAAATTAAAAAGATTTTAATGCCAGCTACTCTTGACAACAATCTAGAATGTATTTATTCCTTTTTTTTTTTCATGAAATTGTTTTTTTATTCTATCACACTAAGAAAACAAAGAAAATTTCTAACAATTTCTTACTACTAAAATTATCTATAAATCTTATCAGAAAAGCAATATAATTTTCATAACTTAGTGAACAACAAATGCAAAATTTTATTGTCTTAAATTGTATAATTTATTCTTTTTCAATAAAATAAGAAGATTTTCTCGATTCGACTTGACATATTGACCATTTCAACTAATAATCCACTAACATATCATTCAGTTTTTAATGCTTCAATATCGAAATTTCAATCTCAAAATTGCTTTGTATCACGGCACAGATTCATGTTCTTCGGTTTTTTTTTCTGCATTTTAGTATAAAATCAAGAGTATACGAAAATTAATGTAACTATATTCGGTCGAAACAATATATAGAAACAAAAAATAAATGCATTTTAAATTTTTAGAATCAGTCAATCATATTAATCTAAACTTATTATTACTATTGTCATTTAACTGACATATTTACAATGATTTTCCTCTTGAGTTGAAAAATATTTTCTTTGAATATGTTAGATAATTGAATATACTAATATTTAGTACTACGTAGCTTTAATTTCACTATTTGCAATTAATAACCAGTTCTCTGAAAATAACCGACCATTAGATATGTCCTTATATCTAAGTATTATATCTTTTTATTTTTATACGATTGATGCTTTTTTGAAAATTATTTTAAATTTGTTTTTACAGATCATACACTAAATTTTCATGGTGCTTATCATCAAACTTTGCAAAAATATTTCTATAATGAAAAATTGTTTTCATGAGAAGCTGAGATTATACAGATTTTATTTAATGAAACATGATATTGCCATAATACAGAAACGATAGAAAGCAGAGATCAGAATTTCAATTCGAACCTAAATTTCTTTTATTAGTCATGAACAATCTTATTCTTATGAATACTTGGTATACTCTATAACACTTAGCGATATGCATATTCCTTAATACGTAATAGACAGCAAGACAATATAACGCTTTTGTTCACATCTAATGAAACAAAAAAAGTCGAAAAACAGATCAGTATTTACAAAGAAGCATGCATTGGTTAAAAGTGGATAAGAGAAGCATCACTTAGTAATTCTTTTGAGCACCTCGCTTTTTACGTTGGCACTTATTATATAAAAGTAATAGTTATCACAAAAGACCTCATCACTATTAATAGAATGAATTCAGACTACGCAGTAATATATCTTCTTATTTGGCATTGAGTCATCTTGCTGAATACTATGTTATATTGAAAACATATGTCGCTAGATATCATAGAGTGTACTAAGTTCTTATAGAATTTCAGATTTTTAGGGAAGTTAATCAGAGAAATTTGAGTTTGAATTGAAACGTCACCAAAATTCATGTAAATCATAGAAAGTGTCCATAATTAGTCCATTTTTTTCTATTGAAATTGTTATCAATGTTAATTTTGAATTAGATTTACGATACGCTAGATATAGAACCAATGCGACGTTTGTTTTTATAACGAGTTTGAATTCGATGAATAAGTTCGACGAACTGTGGACACCACCAACTTAATACTACTGTCAATCCACCATATAAACCAAGCAAAGTACTTGCTACATGCAATGGATTTGCATTATCAATATATGAATACGTACAAATATTTGGTGCACACTGTGAAAAATAACGGTCATAGGATATATTTGTTGACCATTGTTCCATAAATAATTTTTTCACTAAATCATTTACCGTTGTATTGATCTGATATCGTGAATGAATTATAGAACTCGTATTGAGAGGATTTGCACGAGTTCGATAAATCTAAAAAAAAAAACGTTTCTCTTAAGTTATTACAAGATTTATTACAAAAAAAAAAAACATTATATTCAAATAACTTACATTACCAGACATATGATTTCGAATAATATTGATACAATCAATATCAAAAAAACATTCGAGTGTCGAAGCTAAGAATGATTCACTTGGTAAACATCCAACTAAAAGACCTTTTACTTTAACATAATGAGGCCAAGTAAAAGCTGCTTGTGAAAGACATTTTGATTGTAATTCACATGAGCAATTTTCAGATCCATTGTAAATTGTTGGTAATGTATATAATAATGTTGACGAACCCTTACGAGTATTTCGAGCGACAAATTTATAATTACTTCCGTAAACAGTCATAAGTACATTGCCATGATTGATTGCATGAACTGATTCTAATGCACGAACAAACAATGTAGGTATGTGTGCTTCAGTTTGATATGTTAAGTTTGATAATTGTTTATCGAACAATGATTGAGAAAGAAGTCGACTGGTACTAAGAAAATTCGAAGTAAACGAACGTAATGTATCATTTACATGTTTAATTGCTTGATAACATAGACCAGAGAGAAATTGTAGATGTGCTGAGAGAAAAAGACGATAATCACTTATACGTAAAAAGTCGGTCAAATTCTCAAAATCAACTAGAAGAGCTTCACGCCATTCATCTTTAATAAACGTACTTGTACATATCTAAAATGAAATAAACTTTTTCGGTATTGAACATTTTAAAATTCAATTTTTTTTTTTTTTTTGAGAAATCTAATAAAACTGCTGATATTTCTCATTTTTCTTAATTTTTCAATTCTTAAATCAGTAATTTTAATGATGCTCTCTTTTTTTCACTCACTTGATGAAAACGTGTTTGAATATTAATAAATTCATTCAATGGTATAGATGCTCGTTTACATGGACAATCCACTGTACCAATTTGTTTATTTTGTAATTGTTTAGCAACAAATAATGAAGGATTATAAAATTTTGTTGTTACAGTTCGTTGTTCAAATGAAGTATACAAAATAAGTATTGTAAGACCAATAGCATAACAACATATGTAAAATCTAGTTGTAAGACGACCAAGTCGTATTCTTGTAATCTGATCAACATGTCGACCAAATGAATATGTTTGAAATATATTAAAATCAGTTATTTTTGTTTTTAAAGTTTCAGATAGACGTTGATAAAAAGTACGAAATCGAATAATTATTGCTATCCGTTCTAGTATATGTTTTTTTGAAAAAATAATAAATTCTATATGTATTTGTATAGAGAAATAATCAAAACTTTTACCTCTGTTATTATCTTGTTTAGTTATTATTTGATGTCGACATCGTAAAATAAGTTTCACCATTAATGGAACTAATAAACTTAATGCAAGTGTTAATCCACCATAGAAAGTTAAAAACATTCTTATCACATATAGATAATTTGCACGTCTAACATATGTATATTGACAGATACTTGGAACACACATATTAAAATATTGTATATGAGATAATGATGTTTTCCATTCTTCTACAAATAGATTATCAGCTAGTGTGGCTACAGTTGAATAAATTGAAGTTCGAAATAATTGAGAAACATTAAGTGGTGGAACAGGAACGGCTGTATTTGTATAATTAATATAACGAAGTAAAATAATTTGAAGACAATTTGTATTAGAATACAAACATTGCAATGTTGAAGAAAGAATAGAATCCATTGCTGAACAACGCCATACAAAACCTGGTACGGTAATCGTTGTTGAAGAACTAACAATTACCATTGGTTCTCCACAACCGACATGAAAAGCACATAAACATTTTGCGTCTTGAAATATATTTCCAGGACGAGAAAAATTATGGATGATCTTTAAAAAAAAAATCATATAACACAGATGGATTTATATTTTCTTTTTACTTTGAGATTTTCTTCATCAGATTGAAAAGTTATATAAAGGTATCCATTATAGGTTGGTCCTGCAAAATATTGATTAACTTGAAAAAGTAATCGAAGAATATTATTGACACGTTCGAATTCAATTTGCATAGAATGAATTAATTGTTTCAATGTATTATTGATTTCACCACGTAGTAGATCTTCATTGAGTAATCGAGTTGTAACTATAGTACGTGTACGAAATGCTTGTAAATCATTATTTACAGTATTATGAGCTAATTCACATAATGCAGCTAAAGATTGGAAATAGCCAAGTGACATTATTCGCCAATCGGACATGGCAAACATTACACCTTTCATTAATCTTAATTGATCTAACCATATAGGTTTCACAAATGCACTTGAACATACAGGATGATATATAGGAGTTATATTAATAAATGATCCATAGTTGGGAGTGATTTTCGAGCAAGAACAAATAAGTTTGTCTGAATATTTCACATAGAGTTGTTTATAAACAGTATATGATGGATGATCATAAGTTACACTAGTCGTTTGTTCACTTATTGTTGTGAATAATAATAGAAGGAATACAGATCCTATTTAACACATAAATATTAGAATTCATAATCTCAGACCCATCTAGACCAATCTGAGATTCTCACTTTGGACGTATCCAATGTCGGATTGGAGGATAAATTTTTGTTGAAGTCTCCATTAGTCTTAGAGATATATGTTGAATTCAAATTCTTTTTGGTGAACTGTATTAAAACAATGGTGTTTCAGATAATACATACATTGTTCGAGAAATTCAAGTAGAATTCGTAAAGTTATGTATAAGTTTCTACAGACAAACAACTTTTATGGAAAATTATTCATAAGTGTTTAAGTTCGAGCTTAGTTTCTTCGTGGATAATTGTAATACCTGAAATACCATTGTTTCAATACAGTTCATTAAAAACAATTCGAATTCGAAATTTACCTAGAGATTAATTAAGACTTTAACGTAAACTTCCTTCTGGATATAGATGTTGGACGCATCTATTCTCAAATGTGAGATTAGGCGTAATCTCATTTTGGTGCATATATATATGTTTATCCAAATGAAATCAAGTTGCAAAAAAAAATATAAACTTACCAATTAATAAACAAAGATATAGCCTTGTTGACAGTCGTTGATGATGAATTGCTTCAGGTGATTTTTCAGTTGATTTAAATAAGTTTAAATTGATAAGACTTGTTTTCAAAATACCAAAGTAAATTACTAATTGCTCTATAATTCGTTCTACAAAATGCACAAAAAACGAATAAACAGAAATTCCAAAGATTTAATTATAAAATATATGATTTTGATGATGTTCAATTATTTCTTAGATAACCTTTGAATTATATTATCAAACTCACTTTGTACACTGTTTGTATCTGTTCCATTTATAGTATTATTGTTGATAATATCAGGTCGCTTTTTTAAAATGTATTTGACAATTAATGGAATGATAAATCGCAAAATAGTCTGCAATCCACTATAGACACTGATAAACATAGTAATCGTATAAGCAAAATTAGCTTGTTTTCTATACGAATAAGTACACATTTTTGGAGCACATGCAGTATAGTAATGATTATAATCGATGGAGATATTCCATTGTTCAAGAAAGAGTTCTTGAATTAGTTGACTAACACTTATGTTTCGAAGATATTTACTTTTTATTGAAGCATTTAGAAGTTTAATTGTAGGAATTAACTAAATCAGATATATATTATGTTATATAATTATCATTAAGAAATCTATGAATTTTCTTTTCTTTTTTGCTTAACTATAATGCAAGAGTTTCAAGAAAATATTGTCACAAATTTATTTATCAAGAAATAATACTAAATCTTTTAGTTTTTAATAACGAAAATAAGATTAATTTATATTCTTATGTTTATATAAACTATGCAAAATAAAAACACACTTTTGACAATATATCTATTTTATATTTTCCTCTTATAGACATGTATTATTTACTATTAAAAATATTCAAATGATTTATCTTTCTTACTTGAGTAAGTCGTGGAAAGTAATTAACTAATTTCTTAATACATTTTATATCATAAAGACAAATAAATTTTGCTTCAATAACAGCTTCATACGGTGTACATGAACCCACAAAACCAGGTACTACATCGGAGGCATGGTGTTGTTGAGGTACCAGTTTCGTATGAAGTTCAAAATTGTTCTTATCGGCAAACGAATAGAAACCAGCAGGTGCAGTACATGTAGTATTAATCTGACAAACACATATCGTTGTTTGATTATTTTCAGTCCAATACCATCCTGTATAACTTGATTTATACATATAAGTTTGAAAAGTTGCAAAACGACTTGCAGAATAGACAATATTAGTATTCAGTGCTGAAGAAATAACATTACTTTGTGTTGATAATTCGATTAATTTCAATGCATTATTGAAACGTATTCTTGTATCACGTAGAATTCTGTCACTGCTGATGTTAGTTTGAGTACAGATTTGTTTTTCTGGTAATAAATTACTGGAGAACAATTGTGTATCATTTAAATTAAATAATGCATCAAAAATATTCTCACGTGCTAATGCACATAATGTTTTTAAAACTTCGAACTATGAATAAACATTTTAGAAAAAAAAAAAAAAACAAAAATTAAAAATAAACTTTCTTGCAATGTTTATTTACTTGTGAACTTGCCGTTGTTCGAAAATCAATGGCACTATAACGACTAGCATCAGGAATGTAAAGAGCATGAATCCATTGTTCACTAATAAAATCACTTGAACAAATTTGATGCATCGTTGTTTCAGCGATTATAAACTGTTTATAAGACATTGTATTAATTAAACAAGGACAGTTCAAAGTTGTTGAATATTTATCTTGAAGTTTTTGATAAGTCTTAAGTGATGGATTATGAATTGTAATGATTATTTCTTGCCAACTAAGTAATGTAGACATTATCAAAATGAACAAAGAAGCTTAAATAATAATTTATATAATATTAATAAATTTATTAGATTTCACTTACTTGTTAGAGATATGACGTATACTCGTGTAGCAATTCGTTGCTCTCGTAATAACTGTGGATCAATATTAGTCGTTTCCTGAGAATGACCATTGTTTACATTATAATTTTCATCCTCAGACATAAATAGATTCCATTCAATTAAATGTTGACGAAACTTTTTAAACATGTTTGATGAATTATGTATGAAATTATCTGTCAAAATTGAATATTTTCATAAATACTAAAAATATATTCCTCTGATCGCTTTCAATAGAGTCATTTAGGTTTATATTATGTTTCTTTTGAAAAGTTTTAATTATATTTTTTCCTAAAGATTCATTCGAAGTTGAAATCGATTAAACTTTCTGTGTTAATTGACTGGCTTTATATTAGTTTAAAAACTGACTTTTTTTCTGACGAGACTAATGAAAACCGTTTTCAGTTGAGGTACAAGGTCAATTTCTCAAATCTAATTCCATAGTCTTTAGTTGTAGATATGAAACTTACTCGTTTTCTATTATTATATATTAAAGTGCTTAAATGACTATCCATGTTATCCTATAACAATGATTTGTATCTGAACATGAGATGTATAAAGTCTCGATATTGGACCAGTTTTTGATGACTCGCACCAGGTCACATATTACTCATGCCCACCCGGCTCGGTTTCTACTCTATCAGAGCTCGACTTAGATGAGAATGATAGTATTAAAAGTATGTCTTTTACAGAAAAGGCTTCTATACAATGAAACTCGAGAATCCCTTTAGTCATTTAATAGAACATTGTAAACAGTTTATTATCATCATAATGATAATACGTTGAATAAGGACAGACACTTTTAATGCATGAAAAAAAAAACAGCATGATAATTAAATATCATTACTTATTGGAGCAAAAGACCAAAGTATACTCGTGGATATTATAACTTCTTCAAGACTATCATATATTTAGATAAGCTTTTACGAGTAAAATGGACGTTGATCAATCTCAAAGAACTAGATAAGTCACTATTTTTAATTATGTTGTTGATTTGAATACAAAGTTAATACTGTTCTATTTCAACTACGCTTTTGACGGTGAATGTAGTCGATAGTATATTCAGTCTTATCTGTAGACGAGAAACGTTATTTAACTGAATAAATATTCTATTCTTATTTATTGACTAAATGAAATTTCAAAAACATTCATATACTAAAGATGCACTACTGTTACCAGTTGCTAGATGCAAAACCATTGTAAGCAATTTTGACGAAAAATTACAATAGAATTGATTAAAATGATGCTATTGAATTCTGATTTTTCAACTTTAAAGATAAATTGAAATTGATTTTAGTTTTTTTTTTTTTTTGATTAACTAATATAGTTTTATCGAGTGAAAATATTTTTATGAAAACCGCTTAAAAAAATATAAAAATCAAATAAAATCTATCTTTAAAGTTGAAAAAATCAGATTGTTATCATATTCAACTAATTAGTACCATTTTAATCGATTTTTAGTTTACATAAATCAATTTAAAATATAGTTTTGACTAAACGTCGTTACAGAAGTTCAGAATGTTCAGATATCAGAAGAAAAATCTCACCGGACCGAATGACGCATTTCGAGTTCTACAATATATGGCATATTGAAAACAAAATAAACAAGAATATTATTTTAAATACAGATCATGACAGGATAAGAGTATTTTACATTAAAGGAAAATAATCAATGATCTGTTCGTTTCGCATCAGTTTTTTTTTCTATATTGATTGAATAGATTTACTTGCACTACCTTTGTCTTGTTGTCATAGTCAAAATGTTTTATATTCTTGACAAAGTAACTTGTTTGTGAAAAAATTTTTATTAAAATACAACAGTACTTGAATAGCTTCGTCCGTTGTATTTTTTTAAATATTTATTTAGAACATTTTCAAGTTACTCGTTCTTTCTAATCTCTTTTCTCTAATTAGCAAGAAATTTGTTTTTTCAATAAGATCATGTTGTTTTTCCATCTGGCTAAGTTTTTGCTTGTGTATGCTCTCAAATGATTTACTTTTTTTGATCGTTTCACTGAACAGAATGTTCTTATCTAGATGCATAAACAAACGGATATGTATATTCATTTTTCTCTTGGTTTTTATTTGTCTAACAATGTTTTTTGTCTGATTTCATTATTGATAAAACTAGATCTTTCCATCTGTTCATTGATATCATAGAAGCATAAACAATTATATATTGCTAGAATTTTCTCGATGATAATTAACAAGAAAATAGAGAATATCTATTAAAAAATTCGTTATAAAGTAAAATATTTATGACAATTATTTTAATGTTATTCTAAACTAATAGAAATAATATAATTATTCAATTTGTTTAAAATTTATTTAATTAAATTTTTATTAAATTAATCATTTTATTTTCAGTGAAAATCGAAAGTAGATAATGAATCTTAGAGATAAATAGAAATATTTATTTTATTGTATAATTTTGCTTGGTTGATTAATCATTGATCGACTTATACGATTTGCAACTACTTTACGACTAACATTCGAGGTAGTTTTATATACATTCCTTTTTTCTTTTTTTGCCTTGATTTGATAATTGCTTGTTGTAAAGCACACACATACAAATAAGAAAAAGTGACAAATTTTTATTGATCGATACAGTTCTATAATATGTCATTGTGTTATTTGTATTGTCAAGGAAACAAATTAATCAAGACAATTTGTCGTTTTCTTTTTTTTTCTTTATATTATAAAGGCAATATGTATATACTGTATTGTTCGCGTTCATTTAGACATAGTATCAGCGTGCGAAAAACCTTCAATTGTATTTGATAAGATAATATTAACCTCATACACGTTTACTCTTTGCATTCTTTCTTAAAACTATATTTATTCATTCAATCGTATATAAATATTCGATCAATAAATATAATTTTTCATACAAAAATTTAAATGAATAACCAACATTTTTTTATTGATATATTTATATATATATTTAGATTTAAAGTTAACTAGAGCAACTACTAATCGTATGTACAATGATTATCCTGATTGATTATAAATAAAAAAAAAAAGAAAAGGAACCTCTACATAGTAACCTATATACCTGTCAATCGAAAAAAATTTGTCGTTTATACACACCCCCTTCAATTCACACTTCATTTGTCTCTTCATTATTTTATGACCTTCTCTTGAGCGTATCTTTCTATAAATTCAGACAGATAACCATAAATTACACAGAATAATCAACATATATGTAGTTGCTCTTTTTTTTTTTCATTTATTTCATTTTTTAGATTGATATGGAATAATAGTGAATACATAAAAGTTTTTTATTATTAATATGTATTCAAATGCATCTACTCAATTTGCTACAACGCCTGCGTCAATTTCTGATGCTGATACAACTGGTCAACAACAAACTCATTTTAATCTATTAAATTTTATTGGTACAGCTGCAGTTGGATTGATAGCACCTACACCAATTAAAATTTCAAATAATAATATAAATACTAATGAAAATGAATCATTATCTCAAACAGATGAAATTTCACAAAAAACAATTTTACTAGAAAATCTTTATAAGACTGTATCACTTCGTGAAAAAAATGTATTACAATTATATGATACACGAAAAAGTCAAAAACGTTTATCTGATTCTATTTTAGCACAACAAAAACATTTATCAATAATAAATAATATTAATTCACATTTACAACAACCACAACAACAAATACAGAATAAATCTATTTTTCAACATGATCAAAATATAAATAATAATACATTAACTCGTCATGCTTCATTACGTTATAGAAGAACATCAACAACTCTTCAAACAATACATCAACAATCTTCTACAATGGCTCAACGTGAACCTCAAAAAATTTTTATTATGCGTCATGGTGAAAGAGTTGACTCAACATTTGGTGCTAATTGGCTTGATCAAGTATTTGATAAAATGACAGGTGTTTATCGAAGAATTAATTTAAATTTACCAAAAAAATTAGTTAAACGAAAAGATATAAAAGATTTTATATTTGATCCACCATTAACTGAATTAGGTTTACATCAATGTAAAACAGTTGGTGAAGAACTTGTTGCTCAAGGTATTAAAATTGATCATGTTTATTCGTCACCTGCCTTACGATGTGTACAAACAGCTGATAAAATTCTTGAAGGTCTTCAAATGCGTGATAAAATATCAATACGTATTGAACCATGTCTTTTTGAATTTCTCAAATGGTATCCTATTGTACCGGTAATATGGCCTTTTCTTGATTTAGATGAATTAACTCAAAATGGATATAAGGTTGATAAATCTTATCAACCATTTTATCCAATGGAAAGTCTTAGAAAAGATGAAGACGAATTAATGTTTTATACAAGAAGTCATTTTATAACAAAAGCGATTTTAAAAAATCATGAAATTGATGGAGGAAATTTACTTATTGTGGGACATGTAAGTATTTGAAATTAATTGTTTTCTTTTGCAAAAAAAAACTTTATTATCTAGGCACCGACAATTGAAGTATGTACTCGACAATTAATCGGTGGTCAACCTCGGATAAATGATTTGAAATATCTTGTTTTACGTGTACCATATCTATCAATGCATTGTGTTGCTAAACAAATTGATGGAACATGGAAATCAACAAAACCACCGATTTTACCAAATAAATATGCAGCAGTTGAACCATTTGAATGGAGATTTTTTCGATAAAAAAATATTTTCATAAAGAGTTTTTCTTTTAATTTTTAAAGACAAAACAAGCATTTGAAAATCTTTGTTTGAAATATTTTCTTTTGAAGAATAAATATATATTTTCTTTTGTTGTCTATATGACATTGATAAATTTGTTTCTTTTTCAGAGATGTTCATGGTGGTTGAAAATCTACCAATGATATACCGCGATGAACTAGACGAAAAAATTGGCGTTACTGTAATCATATGCTGAAAAATATTTCGAATTTCAACGATGTGATTATACTGATGAGGAACGTCCTACAGTTAACAAACTGCTTTTGAGATGAGACTATATGTAATAAGTAGACACAAATAACTTACGAATATTCTGAGAAGAGTTCATACCGTTAACTTATTTCTATAGGAACTATGTACTTTTACAGTACTTGTTCAATGCTTGCTGGAGTTCCTCTCAAGATCACTAGAAAAACTGATTTTCGAATTTTGACTTGAAATTTCGTAAAGAGACAGACTCTCATGAGAGTAGTGTATTGTAAAGGTTTCAGATCTTTTGGTTTGCTTCTATTCTGACATAAGAACATCAGCTCTATAGGTTTCTATGAACATCGTACACGACACGCTATTAATATCACACTTGCATCTTATGATTAGAACAGTGAAATCATTTTAAACATTCACAAATACTTATTCTTATTCAGATCTGTGTCTATGCAATGTTGCAAATCGAAAATCAGTTATTATCATGTTCTTGGAGGATTGCCACGATATTTATTAAAAATACGGTAAAAATGCAATAGTTGCACAGCTTAAAACGCTTTATCAGCTAGAAGACTTCTCGCATAAGTCAGGACTGTCGTTACTAACCCACGAGATCCATTGAGTCTCCGAGTGTTACATTTGTCCATACTGAAATTTCATGCAACTTCACACAACTTTGTAATGTTTAAGAAAAAAAAAACAAAATCTGTTGTTGTCGCGTCACTGTTCCAATGAATATATCTGATTTCTTTCAATAAAATAGAAATATCTATCGAAATTGGTATTGATAAAAATGATTTAGTCTTTCACTTTCGTTTATTTTGAAATAACTCACGGATACTCTTAACAAATTTAGGACAATACTGTGTTTTCACTTTGCTTGTTGATACTCCCGATTAATATTATCTATTGAGTTGTGATATATGTTATTTGCTTGAATAAATAATTCCTAATCGATTCAAAAATAGTTGAGAATATTTACAGCTTAGGGGTTGGATTGATCTCAGATAGTGTTACTCTAGAATTCGTTGAGTTTGTCTCAGACTCGGTCATGTCGAAGAGTTTTCTGTTGACTGGCTAAGAACCAACCCAACGAGTTATACTTTAAAGACGGCAGCCAATTATGACTTGGTTATTGTATGATCGTCGTCAAGAATATCTGAGGTGTGTTTAGAGTGTGTTCATTCCAGAATAAAAACAACCAATCAAATATGTCTCTTGACATCGTAGCGATTATGAGATTCACAGTGAAAATTTCCTTTGAAAATAGGAGTTTGGTGGTTCAGATGTAGGCTGACCATTTTAAAACTTGATCAGTTATTTTAAGATTGGCAGTAAATAAGAGAAAAATAAATATGTAACCGTTTTAGATTAATATTTCATTAAAATTTTAAACAGAAACTAATATTTTCGAGCTTTTATATATTTTTTTTTTAGAAATCATCATTAGGAATAATATCATCAAAGCATGATATCCATTTACAGCCTTGTCTTCACTAGAAAATGTAATGCTACATTAAGGAACGTAATAGACAGAAAAACTAGTCCGAATTTATTGCACTTTTCAAGGGACGATTTAAATTGAATTCATCGACTTACAAAGAAAAATTTGATTCAATAATTAAAATAATACATTTGCCTTGATGAATAGAATTAACGTTATAAACATTGATAGCAGCAAGTAGTTGGCATGATACACTACAAACTATATTAAAATAAGGATTAAAAGATAAGAATAAAAAAAAAAAAACTTTTAAGAACTTTTTTGACAAAGTTGATGACGAAACCTGTAAAAACACTTGCTAAGAGATTTCAAAATTAATTGATATATCATGAAGGTAAGACATCGATGACGATATCGTTTGGCGAAATGTTGAAATATTACGTAGTATTTTTATTACTTTTTAGTGGCAACCTCTGAATTCGGATTGATGAATTATAATAATAGATGAAAACACACGTCGATTTAATTTGAACTTAATGTAACATTAATCTTCTAGTGAATACAATCCTTTATATGTAACAAGTTCAATGACTTCTATAATTTTACTATTCGTTAATAACTAACATCATAAATAATAAAATTAGAGATGTCATTGGTATTGTTAAATGTAAACTAGTTGTGTACTAGCACATGATCTGATAATATTGAAGCATGGCGAGAAGTACGAATCAATGTTGAATATCCTTCATGATGTAGGATCTAGATTTGATGAAAAGCTCATAAAAAAAAAATAAATTATGATATCAATATATGAATTCTGACATGACCACTGGCTGTCTGCACAAACCTCAGTCAATTCTATTTCGATGATAGATATGTATAGTATTACAGAGAATTTCACCTTTTTACATAGATTCCTTTGGTACACTGACGGAGGTAACATCAATGAATCAAATCCAATCGTTTTCAGATAAATAATGTGCTCAAAGTATATGGAAACACTTGTTGTCAATCCTGGATCCATCGGAATTCTAACAATATTCTCTTTCGTGCTTTGTTATTATAACCTTAGTTAGGCTCTTTTCCTTCAGTATATTTTAGAGATACTTAGTAACGTATACTAGTAACATAAATCGATGGCGTTGACACGATGAAAAAAATCATTCGTTTCGAAACCATAGATGTCTCCTTACATTACACTTTACTGAGACAGTGCTTTGTAACAAGGCAATCATCGTTGAAAGAAAAAACTTTGTTTACAGTACATGTAAATGTTGAATATGCATTACATAATCTCAAACACGTTGACAATAGGATATAAGAAGAAAGTAAAAAAAAATAATTGAACTAATCTACCATTCAAAATAACTGCTATTTTCCGACTAAAATGTTCTCTTGAATCACTATAGATCAATTTCGAAGTAGTAGTAATACAGTAAATTGTTTCTATTGTATCAAGTCAAGGTTCGTGCGGACTTGAAGTGGTCAACAAATGGTAGTCAAAAAGGTGTCTCTGTCAGAGACAAATCCGATAGTATATTCACATACGTATTTTATGTTTTTAGGCAATAATATTAAGGTAAGATGTCACTAAAAACAATTCGCTAATTTTAGTTGATCGAAAAAATTAAAATATTATCAATCATTTATGACAGAAAAATGTTTCATGTGATGCTAATATCAGATTTTCAAAATGAGTTTCATCTTCAGTGCATTATTAGATTTCAATTATATTGATATGATGATTCATACAAATGTAAAAACACTCGAATCGAATCTGTTGATTTTTGTTTGACATTGTAATGAAATGCTATTTATATCAATTATATATTAGTTTTTCTCTTATTTATTTTCATTACTTGTTTGTCACGATATGTAGTACATGTTTATTATAAAAGAAAAAAAAAAAAAGAAATTGTCTAAAATCTCATTTCTATTTCAAAGATTTTATTATATATAATCTCTTCTTTAACATACACCAAGTAAAAATGTTATTCTAACAATCTGTTTATTACATTAAACGTAATAAAAGAAGAAGAAAAAATGATCATTTTTTTGAAATTTCTTGTTTTATTCTTTTTCTTAACTTGCTTTTCTTTTACCACGGTATGTAACAAAATGTAACGACGTATTATTTTATGAGTCACTTCCTTTGATGTTCTCTTTTTTCTCTTGTTTTTTTGCTTATATCTACCACGCATTCAATGAAAGAACCCGATAAAAACATTTACCTGTAGACAAATACACATTTGTTTGCAACTTTTTTTTTACTTGCCGACATATATATATATAGGTTTTTTTTAATGACAATTAATCGTTCTTGGCTTGATGGTGTTTGGCATGGTTGGGGTCATACGAGTTTTACATGGCCTATTCAATTAACAGTAGATTCAAGAACAAATTCATATATTCTTGATTATGTTGGTCTTGGTGGTAAAAGTCGATTAGAACGATTGGAAGAATTAGATCAAGAAGTATATTTTCGTGAACATTTGATTGAAGGTGAAAATTTTTCTGATCAAGATCTATTTATTATTTATAAAATTGATGAAAATCGACTTGAATTTATAGCATTTGATGATAAAAATTTGTCGATATCAACTAATAATGTTATTGGTACCGGTATTATGGTCAAAGAAATTAACAATTAGAGTTAAATAATAATTTGTACTCTTTGTTTATGTAAACTAGTCAACAGCTTTTTTTAAATGTGACAAAGAAAAGGTTTTTGATCAGATAAAAAATTTCTTAATTAGATTTAAGCTTAAGTCTTTCTATGATAACTATGATAAATTTCTAAGATTTTCCTTTTACCAATCTACATAATACATATATTCAAATGTAGTTGTCTGCTTTTTCTTACATTTTAACATTGTTCTGGCTAAATCGAAATATGCTTACGTGTGCAAAAAAAAACGAAAACTTCAAAAATCTGACTGCAATACAAGATGTTAACTTTCCAAATTTTCTTTTGTTTTTTATTTGAAAATTCGAACATGACTGAAGAGTTGTATCCAATGATTTAGTTTTATTGGCGTTTGTTCTCTAGGATATCGATATTTCACTAGGTTTTTTCAATAAAAAGCTATGGTTCCTTCGGATCACGTGAAAAATTGATTGTCGAGTTTCGTTTTCAAACTTTTCACAAACAAAGCTCTCTATGAAATAAGTTGAGAAGTTAAATACAAGTAACACAGTTTTTATTGTAATTTTTCTAAAACGAAATATTCTTTGATTAAAGAAATAAAATTGTTTGATAAATTTGATGAGTACACTGGAATTTACTCTTGGTGTGTTTCATCAGAAAAAAATGGCATATCAATAAAGTCTCTTCAAACAAATAAAAATCAGTTTGACTGGATCAGTTACAACTCTAGATCATTTTTTGTTTGGTCTTTGAATAATTTCTGCACAATAAAAGAACAAGGAATTTTCGTTATTTAACAACCACATGACATTCCTGCAATAATATTCTTATGATGAATGAAAATGGAATATTTTTATATATCCTTGAAATTAAAATGTAAAAAGAAATTCGAACATTCTCAATCACAAAAACAGCATTAGAATCAACTATTAAACTTTCATAATAAATAACGGAATTTATTTATTTATTTTTTCGTTATCCATATTCCGAGTGAGATCATATATTTACATGACGCCAAGTCAGCAATAATATTCAAATAAGATAAAGATTATTAGATTATTCTACTTAGTAATTTTTTTCTCAAGATATAATATCATGATAATAGGAAAATAAAACCTTCTAAATTTTTATGGTCATTCTGATTGAAAAAAAAAATATATTTTTTGTTGTTAGTTTGAAATATTTTCAATAGTCTTGCATATCTCAATTCGATTTGGTTTATGATTAC